TCTGTGTAAAATAAGCATATTCGAATTACCCAGTATTTTTCATTGAAATCACCTAGTTTAAAGTCCTAAAACAGCAGTGGTTTTAATTGCTTTTTAAATAAAAACAAAACATAGCAAAAAATTTTAATATTTTTATAATACTAAATACTTTTCTGTAATTTAAATTCAAAAAATTTGAATATTTATCGTTTAAAGGTTAATAAAATTGAAAAAAAACGAACTAACTTTTTGTTGCGGAAAACATAGCAGTATTGTTTCAATAAAAAGTGGCTTAAAATTTGATCTTTTAACAATAAGTTTTGTTAATAACGAATCATTATATTCCAAAAATTAGTTCTAATTATCAGGTTGGTATTTTTTGCTTAATTAATGTTATTTTTTTGAGCTTATTTAAAGTGTTCATATTACCAAGCGGTCTGGGACCAAGTGACTTGGGTAATAAGAGTACTTTTGCTACTTTTTTTAAAACCTCTGTGTTTTTAAAAAACTTTTGAAAAACGCAAAACTTTTGGATCCAGCTTAATTATTTTTGAAAATATTCCAATTTTTGCTTAAGGTAGTCATATTACCCTAATTTACCCTATTTTTTAAAATTTTAAAAGTATAACATAATAACTTATCTTGCTTGTCACATGGCCAGATGACAATGTCAATGACAATGATAAACTTATATATTATTATGATAAGATTAAACTTATATTAAATTGTCATTTGCCTCGTCTTTCCCTACTCGGTGTATTTAAAGCAATTTTAAAATATTAAAGCATCTTTATGATATTTTGTTGACTACAACATATTTCCGTTAAATGATCAGGTCTGTGAATTATGAAAATACGAAAAAAATGAAAATGATAAATTTTGCGGTATCATAAAATATAAATAGTTGTAGCAAAAAAACTAAAGATTTAAAAAAAATCTTCTTAAAATCACAATCGCTTCACAATCAAATCACAATCGCTTCACAATCAAATCACAATCGCTTCACAATCAAATCACAATCGCTTGTCCAAATTTGAATAAGATTTTAAATAAATACGTTTTTAGGTGAAATGAACATCATAGTTTAATAATATGATCGGTTTATTTTCCTAATTATGAGCTCTTTCTTAATTGAAATTGTAATATTTTTTTTGTGAAAATTGATAGAAATATTGCGTTATGACAACTATATATAGTTAGTATACGTCAGAACCGATTAGAAGTAGGATCTATAGTTGGTTAAGGCACTTTTTAAAATGATTTTAAACTAAACGTCGATGAGTGAAATTGATCTAAATACTCCAAGATGGTGTTCTTTAGATTCACTATTAGGGGGTAGTAAAAAGGTTTTAAAAATTGTATTAAAATAAAATAAAAGTTTTTTTATTAACAAAAAAACCTCAAGCAGAAAAAAAGTATAAACATCTAAAGCTCTTTTTTGGACACAATACGCTGATAAAATCATTTATATAAGTAATATCTAAATAACATTGTGTGTAATGCTTACGCCGGCTCTATGTTTATACATGTATATATGACAAAGAAAGCTGAGGAAGAGTTCAGCGAACTCTCCAAGTTTTTGTCAGTTCGACTAACAGCACTATTGCACCTTCTAACATCGTGTGCAATTCTGTCCGTTTTCTCTATGCTATCTTTCTAACACGACTACTTCTGCCTTTCACTCTAACATATCTTCGTTCTTCCCAAACTCACCTTACTCTCGGTCTATAGAGCGGATTATGACGTTCCTTTCCGAAACAAGTCTTTGCGGACATAGGTAATGTGGCCTCCACATGGCAATTAGTTGGTGGAGGATAAACCACAAAACCTCTAAATAACATTATTATGACTTACTTTGGCAAGTTATTTTCATGTATAAGTATCTTTGTAATGTTAATTACTTATGTTAAATTTTAATTGGTAAAAATAAATTACTTTTACTACGCACTTCTACGCATTACTACGCATTTTTTAAATTAGCTTTATATAATTAAATGCAATGTTATTATTATTATTATTATTATTATTATTATTGTTATTATTATTATTATTATTATTGTTGTTGTTGTTTAGTAATTTAATTTTATTCGTAAATATATTTAATATTTTACATTTAAAAATAACTTACTTTTTTACTTCAAAGTAAGTTAAAAGTTCCTAATTTAACCTAAGTTCATAATTCTGTTAAACCAAGTGCATTAGCTGTTGTAAGTTTAAAACTATTTTTAGGATTAAAACAATATTTGAGGCTGAAGAAAAAGACAGAATCCTAAAAGTAAGATGGATTTGGGACAACTCCATGCATGAACTCCCTAACAGGCAGTTGCGTGTACTTTCCACATTTGAAGGCATCCACGCTACAAAAAGTTTTTGTAGATGCCCCCGAAAGCGCAATTAGACATTACACTTTTCGAAACTCTTTTTTTTTCAAAAATCACTTAATCGAAAATCTTTTTTTTTTTTGAAACTAATTTAAGTTATCGAAGTTCTTTTTTTTCGAAATTTATTTAGCTTCGTAAAACTTTTTTTTTTTTTTCAAAAATAATTTAGCAAATCGAAATGGTTTTTTTTTTTTTTAAAACTAATTTAACTTTTTGAAACTCATTTTTTTTTTCGAATTTTATTAACTTTTTGAAATTCAATTTAAATTTCAAACTTAATTTAGTATATCGAAATTTTTTTTTTTTTCGAAATAATTTTGACTTTTCAAACTTAAATTTTAATTTTCGAAATTATTTTTGCTGTTCGATATTTTTCGAATGTTTTTGAAAAATCCAAATTTTTTTTTTTTTTTTATCGATAACGTTTTATCCGAAAATTTTCGAAAACTACGTTTTTGAAAATGAACCCTAGTATATATTGAGCTTGTTAGTGCTTTTTTTTCCAATGTCGATACCATTTTTCAATACCGGTATTTTTGTACTGAATAATTTCAATACCGGTAATACCGGTACAATACCGATGTTAAACTTTTTTTTTTTAATTTATCTTAATATAAATATATTCTCAAGTTAAAAGTAAAAATTTAATTGATTCGATAAGCTTATTTATTTTATATCAAAATTACTGACTTTTTGATTTTTCGCTTTTTTCTCGTTTGTAAAATAAACGTGTAAAAAACATAGGGCGTTCAGAGGGCGTTCAGAGTATCATCCTCAAGAGATGATCTAATTTTGTGACAATGTTGCCACTTGCTGAAAATCCAGGCTCCAATTCGATACTTGTTAGCTTCACAGTTTTCAAGTATTTTACAAGTATGCAAATAGATACCAGAACTTCTTTGAAAAAAAACTTCTTCGAAAACTGCTTAATACATATAATTTTTGATGAATTATTCGAAACATTCAATCTTCTCTTGTTGTTACATTTTTTATTTTTCAAAATTGCAAGTTCAAGCTTTTCTTTCAATGGAAAGTTTACAGCGTTGTCAACAGAATCAATATTGGAAGAAACGCTGCTGGAAAGGAGAGGATTATACGCTTTTTGATTGAGCCGATCTTTCAGTCGAGTAATGGTATTTACAATGACTAATTTGCTAAGGTGCTCAAAAGATAGCGCTGGATCCAAATTTTCGTAACGTTGATGGTCCTTGTGTAGAAAATATTGTATGCTGGAAAAAGATGTATTTTTATTTATATTTTTATTTATATTTTTATTTAGATTTTTTATTGTTGATGCAATGTGTTCAGCATCGTGGGGCTCAACAAGATGCTGAACACTTTGCATCAACAATAAAAAATCCAAATAAAAGTACACATCTTTTTTCAGCATACATCATTTTCTACACAAGGTCCATCAACTTTACAAAAATTTGGATTCAGCTTTTTAGCAGATTAATCTTTTTAGCACCTTAGTAAATTAACCATGCTGAGCTGATATGGTTTTTGGCATATTCATTAAAATGTTTATACTTTCTTTAGGGATTAGTAATAAACACACCTTGAATACTTATTTGATCTGGTTATGAAAAGAAAAACACATAGTACGCAAAAGCACCATTTAACTTATATCTATATGATAACTAGGGATGTACCAAAATTCCGGCCGGATTTTTTTTCTTTTAGATCAACTCACTTTTAGCTGTAGTTAAACTTCTTTTTTTTTACTTTTTTTTATGACATTTGACACAGGCTGTGTAAATTAATAAAAAAAATCATTATTCTACAGATCAATGAAGAATTATATGTAAACCGAGGTAAAAAATACAAATGGTATTTTTGCAAATGCATTTGCAGTACTACTATTTCTGAAAATAAATTTACATTTGTATTTTTATTCTTGATTCACATATAGATCTTCATTGCTCTGTAGGATAATGATTTTTTGATTTATTTACACCACCTGTGTCATATGTCATCAAAAAAAAAAAAAGTTTACTTCAGCCAGAAACGAATCGATCTGAAAGAAAAAAATCAAGCCGGAATTTCAGTACATCTCTAATAATAACCATGGAGTTTACTGAGATTGAGAATAAAATTTACTGAAATAACGTAGTTTACCCAATTTATACAGTCACAGTCTCAAAAAAATTAACTTTTACCATAACTGCACTGTAGTAACAATTTTTATGACGCGTAGATCAGTTTTCTAAATTAAGAAAATGTAGAAGGGGCAACCCCCATGCTTCTTTCTCCTTTCGGACACTCATGGCTCTAACAGTGTAATATTTGTGAGATATAAATATTTAACCTGTCATTTTTTTTATCACGACGTTAAAAAATTTTTTAAATTTGCTATTGTGCATTAGATTATTTATTATTAACATGATATACGTTTAGTTAAAGTATTGCTAGTAAAAGAATTTGGTCACAAAAAGATTTTAGTGTTCTTTTTTATTTTTAAAATCAACCACTTGTATAGCATGTTTCTGTTTACAAAAAAGAGGTTCTAATATTCATAAGTATTAGCCAATACTACTATATTACTTATTTAGAGTGATTCTTAACATTTATATATTAAAAATATATCAATAAGAAAACATTAAGTAATACAAATTCTCTTTATACAAATAATAATTTAATTTATCAATACGTAAGTTTATTATTTATTTAATTTACTTATTCATTTATTTATATATTATTGCTTTATTTATTAAGAACATCACACACACATATACTTTTAGTAATACATATAGCATTTAGTTTACAGTTTTCTTTTAAAGCAGGTACATTTGTTTCCTGAATTTATTGGTATATAAACAAGTTACCAAGTCAGCAAGTCGAATAATTTTACTTCAGCAAGTTTATTAATTTTTCGGTTGCTATAAAAGTTAGAAAAATGAAGTAAAAAATTGCTAAAATAAGTAATTTCGAAAGCCACGATTCATAGTATAGTAATGTTCAATTTCTTCTAAAGAAAGGTTTTTTGTTTCCGGTACGTAATAGTAAATAAAAAATATACTAAGAAAAAATACAATAACTGTAATGCAAAGAAAATTCACATAACTAGCAAAATAAGGCAATTTAAACATCGTTTCCAAGGGAATAATTACCAACCAAATTAACGATCTAAGAATACCGCCAAGAAGACCACGAGCACGAGGTGGAAAAATCTCTGAAACTATAATCCATGGCAGCGGACCCCATGTAAAAGTAAATATTATGTCATATATAAAGAAGTAGGCTACCCGTGTTTTTACGTCAACTTTACGCTGGGACAAATAATAAACGTAAAAACAAATGCTCCATATAAACAAAACTGTACTTCCAAATAGAAGTAGACCTCTGCGTGAGATCTTGTGAACTATAAAGCACCCACATAATGAAAGTATCAACTGCAAAATAACGCAAGCTTTAATATCATTTCTGTTTTTAAAATCTCGATAAAACAAATAAAAAATATATTCAATAATAGTTAAGTGATTAATGAATAACAATGTACTTCCTATTAAAAGAGGTCGAAACAATCCCGGTGAACGAAAATCGTTAATTGATGCTGTATGCTGGTGAGCTAAAACAAAGAAATTAAGGTATTATTAGATGTTAGCATGCGCATATGCATATATATATATATATATATATATATATATATATATATATATATATATATATATATATATATACATATACATATATATATATATATATATATATATATATATATATATATATATATATATATATATATATATATATATATATATATATATATATATATATATATATATATATATATATATATATATATATATATATATATTAGGGTGGATCGATTTTCATTACAAAAAAAAAAAAGTTTGAAAATTAATATTCCTGAGACACGAATCGATGTCTATTAATTATAAGATGAAAGTAAAAAAACATTTTTTGATTTTGATGAGATCTTGAGGTTCCTTTTTGGATTCTAAATCCTTGACGGATCCTAATATTTTTGAATTTTTTTTTTCTAAACTATATCAAGCTTGGACTCAAAAAAAGCAGAAAAAAATGCTTGTTTTATCAATAATAATTTTATTTAAAAAAATGTTTGCAAAAATATACCTTAAAACCCCCGTTTTGATGAAGACGGGGGTTTTTTAATAAAAAAAACAAAATTATTTTTTTCTCTTAATTTTTGAATTAAAACAAATATTATATTCAAAATAAGCGTATTATTCTGCTTCTTTTAAGTACCAGGTTGATATAGTTTAGAAAAAAAAAAAATTTCAACAATATTAGGATCTGTCATAAATTTAGAATCCAAAGAGGAACCTTTAAAACTTATTTAAATTAAAAAAAAAAAAAAAAAAGTAAGGTTCTTTTTTCACCAAAAGACATCGATTCGCAGCTCAGGCAAATCAAATTTCAAAAATTTTTAAAATCGATCCACCCAATTTTTTTTTGAGTTCAAAATTTTTTTTAAGTTATAAAGTATATTTTATATTGTTTTCTAAAGTCCTTGACCGTAAATATGTGTTTTCGAAATAAAATTAAAAAAAAAAAAGGGTCAAAAAAGTATATAACTTGGACATACTCCTTTGTTTTAGGGGAGGCTCAAGTGACATTATATATTTATTGTGATTCATGGAATCAACTAATGGTAAAAATGAATTTAAAAAATAATTGGAAGAATATTATATAAGGTGACATCCCGATTGTATATGGTTCAAAACTTTACATTTGAATGGAAAAGTATTATACCTATATAAGTATATATACTTAGTATTAAAAAAGAGACCTAAAAGTAATGAAAAAATTTATATTCAATACTGATTTGTACGCTTCTTTGGCTTGTAATCAAAAGCTTGCTGACACATTTCATAAAAGTATTGGTTCTGAAGATGAAAAATAAATAGACGTCTTTTTTTTTTTTGAAGTTTATTTTTCTAGTTTTTTAAGTCTTAGTGTTTTTTGAAAGACTTTTGAAACCTTATTTATTTCTTTTCTGTATTTTACCTAAAACATTTTATATATTTAATAGTCTAAGATATTGCAATACAGATATTAAAATCAAAGTTTAGGTTAAATATAAATATTAATTTTTTTGTTTAAAAAAATTTTAAAGCCTCTTTATTATCACAGCGTAGCCACAGCTCCTCTAAAATCCTCTTTTTTTTCAAAAAATTTTCCCTAAAATCCTCTATTATCTTATCATTCGATAAAAATTTTACGTAAGCGCGAATTGGGATAAGCGCGAATTGGCATATGTGCAAACTAGCATAAGTGCGAAGCAGTTACAAAAACTGGCATAAGTGCGAACTGAAATAACTGCGAAATGGCATAAGTGCGCCGAATAAAATTTCAAATATTGGCATAAGTGCAAATTAGTATTTTGCACTTATGCCAATTCACATTTATGCCTATTCGCACTTATCCCAGTTTGCACTTATGCTTGCACTTATGTTTGGAAATTTATTTGGCGCACTTATGTCAGTTCGCAGTTATGTCAGTTCGTACTTATGCCAGCTTTTGTAACTGCTTCGCACTTATGCTAGTTTGCACATATGCCAATTCGCGCTTATCCCAATTCGCGCTTACGCCATTCGCACTTATGCCAGTTCGCACTTATGAAATTCGCGCTTATTCAGTCGTCCCCTAAAAATCTATTTAATAGGTTTTTTTGAAACTTTTTCAGCTGATATTTGTAGAATATTATTAAATAAGTGTTTTATATATTTTCCTTTGGTTATTCTTTAAATATTGCGAGTAAAATTGAAGTTGAAAAATTTTTTTTCTTCTTAAATACTTATCGTCAAAAATGGTCAAAACGCAATGTTTTGACCACAAAGTATATTTTTTTCAATAGATCGATATTTCTAAAATAACAATTTAAGTTGCTATGTTTTTCTTTTGAAATCATCACTTTTTCATTGTTATTTTAGACTCAACTGAGGGGCAACTTCGTCGTAAAAGGAAAGATAATACTTAAGGTAAATTAGGTTCTTTAACTTTAACATGCGGCCGTGGCGCAAGAGTTAGAGTGCTTGCTATATAAGCAGTAAATCCAGGTTCGAAACGCCTCCTTCCTTAACCTGACGAGAAAAGCGCTTTTTTCGCGTCACGTTAAGGAAGGAGGCGTGAAATTCCTGGTTAAATGTACTTTCGTGGTGCTCTGTGACAAGACCCTAACGGTCTTGAAGAAGTGACAAGACCCTTACGGTCTTGTCACTTCTTGGGGCATCTAAATAAAAAATAAATAAATAAATAAAAAAGAATTATAGAGCGCCGTTTAAAAGAAAATCAAGTTGTGCTCAAAATGTACTTCAAATCTTCAGATATTATCTATAAGAGAGGCTTTTCAGAATATATTAGTTTACTGACAGCTTTTAAAACTTTTTAAAGTTTTAATTATAAACGGGACTACGATGTGAAACATTGAAACAAGTTTATTATAATGCATAGTCTAAAATATATATATAGTAAATAATAAGTATATAAAATTTGATTTATAATTGTGATGAAAGCGGCCTTTCATCTCTACCTTGTAGTTTTGTGTTAAAGGCTCTCGTGAGGTACAAAAGTTAACTATTAGTGAACGTGGCAGATTAACAACATAACTGGTTAATGTCAATGCAGCATGGGACAGCTAACTTCCATTTTTCATATTCAAAGCAACAAAGATTCCAGATACATCTAAATTTCCTTTGGGTACAAAAGTACATTGCAGTACAAGCGGAATTGATCAAGATGTATTTTTTGACCTTTTACATCATTTTAATGAGTTTCTTACAAAAGTGGATGAGAAAAAAGTGTTGCTATTTTTGGATGAATAATTTTTGAAGCAATTGAATTAGCAATAGAGATGGCTATTGAAATAATATGCATTCCACCGTATAGTACACATCGCCTTCAACCACTTGACACACATGTTAATAAAGAAGTTAAACATATGTGGTCTTTGGCCTTGTCTAGTTGTTTAGCTGAAAATGATAATATTTCTATGCCTCGTTGAAACTTTCACATTATCTTTAACAAAATAATGCAACTTTTACATTGTTTTTAACAAAATATGCCGCAACATACTTACAAAAAGAGAATTGATTGTTTATGCGTTTTACCATTGCGGTTTGCGTTCACTAAGAAATAAAGTAAAAGATTTCAAATCCAAAAAAAAAGAAAAAATTAATAAAAACAACAATTCATTTGGGAGACCCAAATTTATCTGTTTTAAGGACTACTTTACCTTCTCCGGAAAAAAAGCAAACTTACTCACTCAAAACACAATATTACTCTTACTACATTACCAGATTATACTAAGTTTATAAAGGAGCTTCCTGCTAAAAAGACTCCAATAAAAAATGAGGTCAGTGTTAAACAGAAGTCAAAAAAAAAAAGCCAAAACAAAAACAAAGAAGACTTATTTTTTAGCAGGTTCTGATCACCCAAGTTTATCTGATCACCCAAGTTCATCTAACGGCTTTATTCTAAAAAATAATACTGATAAAGACTTTTGTTGTGTTTGTGTAGCTGTTTGGGGAAAAGCAAACGAAGATTGGTTTAAATGTTTAAGTTGCAGTCAGTGGGCATGTGAAGGATGTTTTGGAGTTGATACATATACAAATTGTACGCAAAGTACACATAAACGTCTTATAAGTTCTTAAATAGTCATAGTGATTTAATTTTTGTTATAGCTTTAACGTTTTTTTTTTTTGTGCGCTACTGAAACTACTTATGTTTACCTACTGAACCTACGAGCCGTAGCATTGAAGAGAACCCAACCACATCCACTTGAAGGCGTTCTCAAGAACTTGGCATCTCACGGAGTTCTCTGCAGCGCAATCAAAGAGACTTGCACAAGTACCCTTACAAGGTTCAATTAGTGCAATCTTTACACCAGACTTTCAGAAACGACTAAATTATGCTGTCAGGTTTGACTGCAAGAAATGACAATGAGTTTATTCACAAGTTGATCATGAGTGATGAAGCTCATTTCCATTTGGACATGTGAATAAGCAGAATACCAGATTCTGGGGTATTGAAAATCCACGCCAAGTTCCTGCGAATCCATTGCATCTGGTTAAAGTCACAACATGGTGTGGAGTAACATCAGAAAGGGTTATTGGGCCCTTCTTTTTTGAAGATGTAAATAAAAATGCTGACTGTAACTGCTGTAAAATGTGACTATAAATGCTGAGAAATATCAAGACATGCTAGCGAGTTTTGTTCAACCTTAGTTAGCAAACATGGCAGGGTATTGGTGGCAACAAGATGGAGTACATACCGCTAGAGCCACAACGCAGTTGTGAACTGCAATGTTTCAGCATCGGATAATCTCTCTTAATTCCGATTTTGAATAACCTCAACGTTCTCCTGATTTGACAGCACCAGACTTTTGGCTTTGAGGATATCTTAAAGATAAAGTGTACGCAAATAAGCCCCGAACTATTCAAGAACTTAAGGCAAATATACGACAGGAAATTCTTTCCCTACAACCTCAGATGTTAAGAAGTGTCATGGGGAATAGCTTAGAAAGAGTTTCTTTCTTGTATTTATTTTTGCAATATTTCCTGGTGTGCTTTTTCAATGTTATGA